GTTGCGACCTTGGGGTGGGGGGGGGGACAGTGTCACTGGCATCTGGTAAATAGAAACCAGGGAAGGCACTAAACACCCTACAATGCAGAAGACAATACTTCACAACAGATAATTATCTGGCCAAAGTATCAGTAGTGCAAAGGTGAAAGAGGAAGGAAGGAAGGAAGGAAGGAAGGAAGGAAGGAAGGAAGGAAGGAAGGACGGACGGAAGGAAAAAGGAAAGGAAAGAACAAAGAAAATACTGCCTTGATATCCCAGCTAAAATAATCAATTATTACCTTCAGGAATCTGATGAACTGATTTGAGCATCTGTGTCCATGGGCGGGGGAAGCGGGGGGGTAACCAGTAACTAAGAACACTGTCTATCCAACACTCTCAAGAGTAAGTTTTCCCCAAAAGTTCATACCAATATTTGTCAACACTGACAACCAAGACCTATACAGCACAAGAAATACACATGTTGTAATATTTCGTAATTATCCAAGCTGAATTTTAAAAAGTACATTGCTACCATACGTACTTCTCTAATAAAAACACTTTGGTATTCACTCAATTAATTCTCCATTTTTCTCTCACCATACAGGATCATTAGGGAAGGAACACCTTGGCCACTTCAAGATGACAAGCACACACTGGACTACACTGCTTCATTGACAGGAAGCCTCCTATTCTACCAGCGCCCCCACCACGCCAAAAAGAATTTTAAGGTAACTGAAAAAATGCTCTAGTATTATCCACAAGTTTATTAATTTCACACAAATTATGAATAATTCCTCTTCTCCAGAAAAAGAAGAATTATGGCACATAATTGGAAGGGTGGTCCATATGTAAGAGAGATATGGGTCGAGGTGTATAGGTACACAATAGAGGAGTAATGAACCTCAGGCCAATTAAGCATGTTTTTATTAAGGTGCATGTTTCTGGAGTGAGCATTGCTTTGTATGGCCTGTACTGACTAAATTCTGCCCAAAGAGAGAGCCCAAAGGTTAAAGGTAATTCTCTGCACTTTGAAAATACTTAAAGTACCACAATCCTCAGACCCTACATTGCACTAAGGAACAAGGGCACTCACTTTAAATTAGAATGAATTTGTGGCACTTGACATTCTAGCTGTGCAGAAAAATGGAGAAAAAGCAATTCATGTGCTATTATTACACATTAATAGCTATCTTTTGGTCTCATAAATCCCATTCCTCCATGTTCTTTAATTATGTTACCAAAGACCCAAGTGAGGATATAAAACTAAAACATATCATTCCATTTCATGGTCCTTTACCTGGATTTGTGAGCCAAGGAAGAGCCTTACCTACGAGAAGCTGAAGACATACTCTTAAGCGTCCCTTTTTGAAAAGTTCTACCACATATAGAAATCTTTCTTCAACGTAGTCTCAAGAATTTAGGGAGCAGTGCTTACGTTCTTGAAGCTTTCAGTACAGAAATTCGAGATAAAACTCAAAAGTAACTCCAGCCAGGCACAAGGCTGGCTGCACCTCCACAAACTGGCTCACTAGAGCACCCACTTCTTGGCTAATCACCATCCTTTCCCCCTTGTTCTTCCTTTGCATATCTCTCATCTTTAACAGGCTGCAACAAGCTGCTTAGAAATACTGAACCTTCCAAGAGCCTGGGACAGGAAAGGAAGAGTAGGTGGGCTACACCAAGACATTCTTTGTCTTCTTTTTGATTCACTTGGTTCTTACTTTTGCATCATTGTATAAAATCATCATCTATATATGAGTATTTCCTCCATTTATGAAATGATTTGAAGTTTTGGTAGGTCCCATCATCAACACACTAAATCATCTCTACACTAAAGAGAAGGAGAGGAGATTGGACAGATGTTAAAAGGTCAAATTGATACAGGTCCCTGTTATGATCTTGTCCTGTTTTCATCCAACACATATTCCTATGTTTTGGGCTCAGCATGTAATTGTCCTCACTTCCTGTAGATGCCTCAGATAGTTCTATTTTCACACATCTTTCAATCTATCACTGTACAGAAGCCTGGCTGAGACCAAAAACAGTAAAACATTCAGCTGGAGAACACAATGCCCTAAGAAAAACACTATTGCTAAAGAAAAATATTTAAGAGCTTAGATTATCTTGGGTTTACTTTCGGCTCATTACTCATGTGGAGTGTCCCTTTGTCTCTACTGTGTCTAACTAGTAACAATGCAGGCAACAGTGATAGTGTTTTTCCCCAACCATCACATGTCAAATCTTTCCATCCTAAAACAAAGACTCTTACCTGTGATTCCTTCAAAACAGGCCAGAATAGGAAGAAGGTGTCTGCAGGGAAAGACCCAAGCAAGTCTTAAGTATTCACTCCCTTTCAGAAGGCTTCCTTGCTCTAGAAGTCTATCTGGGTCAGTCATACTCTTCCATCAACCTCGAAGTGACGAGGGGTGCAGGGAGACAATGATGTACAACACAAGGGCATAATATGCTCAGATTCTCAACACATTCAGGATTCTAAGAACACAGTTCTGGACCCATGGCATCAGGCTATCAGGAGACAAGACAAACTATTTAGTAGACAAACTCCTTGCCACAGTGGACATTTAAAAATAGAAAATGTGGCCCCTTTGCTTACCATCTAAAATTCAAAACAGGCTACAGAAGACTGACGGGAAGCATAGGACTACAAACTATTATGATCAGAGCCAAGGGTGGCATGCATGAAGTAAGAGCACACAGAAGCAAGGTGTTCTTGTGTGAGAAGTAGTACACAAAGTTTGCATATACGACTGTTTTATTTGGAATGTGACTGAATTTCATATTCCACATTTCCAAATTTGACTTTCTCATACTTCCTTAATTTTACTGACAACACTCTTTACTCACTGTGTTTGAAACACTGTACTTGGCTCCAGGAATACAAAGATGAACAAGATACATTCTCTGATCTCAAGGGACCCATCATCCTCCACAATCATTCTTTCCCACGATCCCTGACTACCTGTACATTTCTTAAGAGTAGGGATTCATGTCTTCAATTCCCAGATTGCATGTTCTTTTATTTCACAAGTATTTTAACTATCTAATATCCTAAATATAATGCTAGGAACACAATGGTAAAAAAAATAATACGATCTCCCTATGAAGGGGCTTACCATAACAGAAGAAAGAAACAGATGGAGAAATCAGTGTTGAGATGGGAGAAAGGCACAGAGCTAGGAGCACACATACAAAAGGAGTATAACCCACTCTGACCAAAGCACAGGAAGACAACATTTTCTAAAGACAGTGACATCCAAGCCTAGCTGCAGGGATGAAGAGAAGTTAACATGCCAAGAAGGTAGCAAAAAGGTTTTCCACAGAAATGAAAGGTTGTGCAAAGGGAAGGTCAAAGAAATCATGGAACTCACGGCTGAGGGTGGAGGAAGCCGAGGTGAGACCAAGAAGGGACTTCAGTCGGTCAGCATTAAAGAGTTAGGACTTTATCCTGAGGCCAAAGAATGACCACAGAACAGTTTCCAGCAGGATGTTGATACATATGTAGAATGGACTCGGCATTTTTT